GGTGAATACATGATCATGCCAGTTCACAGTTTTCACAGTTCATTTCCTCTGGGTTGTCTTATGTTTTGAAACTTTAATTTAGAATGACCTTTTAGATTTCCAGCAAGTCCTTCACAAACTTCAGTTTGTTTCTCACAGATCAGAGTCAATGCCATCATGGCTTATTGGTATTGCCATGTGTATGTTGTCCCTGGATGGATATTTGGATAAACATAAGATGATCAACGGCAGATCTGCATCTGATTTTTACAAGTATAACATAAAAAATGGATACTTCTGATTTTATTCACCAACCTACTGTGCATCTCCCATATGGCTTGGTGGGAGAAGTCCCCCATCCATCCGATACTCTGTCTCATATAAGGCAGCTGTCCAGCTTTGTAATGAATCTCTGATGAGAAGTCATGAGTCACTCACACATGCATTTCCCAAGGAGCTTAAGTGATTTGTTTGGTAGAACAAATGTTAGTTCAAGAGCTTAAGTTCCCTTCCTTGAAAATTATTTTAAAATGCAAATAAATATGAAGAGGATATTTCCAAATCTAGCAACTCCCAGTGGAAATTGGATAGGATCAGCTATAGAGATCTATAAGCTTATCTTTACATAAACATCTCTTCAGGTGGTGGTGTTTCCGTGGTACTGGCTGAGGCATGGAAAATAAATTCAGTGAAAGGAGGGCTTTTAAAATGAAAGCATATTCCTTTCCTTTGCATTAGCTGTTTAGTGAGAAGAATAGAGGGAAGCATTAAGGTTTCTTTGTTCTGTATTAAATAGCAGTTGTAAAAGTTAGGATTTCTTGATTTATTTGCTTTATTGGTTTCTGCCAGCATGATATGGTTTTTAGTGATGTTTTAGAAATATGCCCAGAGGCTTGATTTTTGGGAAAACTTGAGAAAAAATAGTAGAAATATATCTGTATAGAATCAGAAGAAAAGTCTATGAGATAACCAGACTTTTTTTTTGTGGGATTAAAAAGAGAAACATTTTCTAAACTGTAGGAATCTGTTACTGGAGAATACAATAATGCAATTTGAGAGTACTTCAGTAAATACAGCATTTTCATGTTTGTATCTCCCCATATTATTTCTAATGAGGAGCCTATGCTGACAGAGACAAGAGTAGACAAGAAAAATCAGCGAGGCTTCAATCAGCCTGCCTAGAGTCTGCCAATAAATTGGGGGAAATTTCGGGACCTTTTGTTAGTGATAACTTTGGGGTTATTTTAATTCACCAGTTTTCTGTGGCAGATACATTTGGGACTGATGTTTGAGATTTATATTGGTTTAAAGCCACCATGCAAAAAATTTTTTCTTGTCATAAATACTTACTACATTATATTTTGTCACTTTTGGTGTTTTTAAAACAGCCCAGCAAAAAGTGCAAAAGAATATTTTATCAGGATAAGCAGATTTCTGGTGGTATTATTTGTTAAAAGGCAGATTTTGCTATCAGGTAGCAGTTTCATAGCACTTGGCTGCTCCTATTTCTCAGTCCTCAAAAGCTAGGTTTATAGAAATGCTTCTGATCACTGTCACGTAGTGGTGCAGCAGCCTGGTATTGTCTCACAAAGAGAATGTGGTCTGAATGACAGCATAAGGGTTTGTATTCAATAGAAGCATTTCAAATGTTCTGACAGCAGTAACAAAACATTTCAGACCTTCTGTCCCATCTTTTTTCTTTTTCATAGAACAAACCAGTAAAATTGCAAGTAAACATGTCAGAAAGTGTAGAAACTGAGTTTCCAATTAATATTAATGGAGAAGAAGTCTAGGTTCTTCAGCAGTGTGGGAAGAATTTCTAGTAACCCTATTTACTGTCGTATGTACTTGCTTTTAAAAGCTAGTTGTGAATTTTTCATAGTTTGCTTAGTAGAGCTTAAGCCTTGGGGGTATGAATGCCTGCTGAGGGATGATGCAGTGACAGGTGAGACAAAGGGAATTCTTTCCAGTTTTGTAACCAGTGTTGTTTTTATGTACCTGTTTAAACACAAATATTTGTGGTGAGATCACTCCTAGTTTTAACCATCACTATTTAGAAATGTTTTAAATGTTGAATCAATCTGGGATTTTACCATTCATAAACATAATTGGAAAAAAAAAATGCCATAATTGAATAGCTTGTGGTGTCCCTGATAGGAAAACAGATGCATTTTCAGAGGAGATGGTTTCATTGGAATGCAGGGCTACACTCCAGGCAATCTATGAACACATAGGATGGGCTGTTCAGCAGGCAGCATGGTCTGTAGGAGACAGCTGTGTTGGTTGCATCAGGGAAAACTCAGGAGGTGCTGCCAGGTTCTTTTTTGACCAAACTGTAATTAATACAGAAAGTCCAGGCTTGTTTATCAAAGCTTTTATAAATAATACATGACTATAATCTCCTGCAGGTAGAAGTGACAATAATATCCAAAAATAATTACCTATTGTAGTTATAGGAAATGCAATTAGGAGCCATCCCCTGAAGCAATTAATTTTATCAGTTTTAGACATTAACTTTCTAAGCATTTCTTTGTCAGAACAGTTAACCCATTAATTTGTATTGATAATGATAATAATTTTTCAATGAATTTATGAATGCATTTTCCATGTTTATTTCTGTATGCCAGAATTTTCTGCTGTTCTTTTAGTCAAAATCAATTTTTACAGGTAACCTAAACAAAAACAGTGTTTATCTGTCTATGTAGTAAATGGAATCAACACAGAGAACCTGAATAGCTTTTTCTACTTACATGGTATTAGTTAATATGCATAATGCAAACCTTTTAATCCTTGAATTTCTGTGCTGACTTTTGCAAAGGTGTTTCCAGTTGGGGGACCCATATGAAGCACATAAAAGGCTGTCTGAGCTCTGAGATGGCAGGAGCCTGATGCTTTGGGATAGCTGGGGGATAGGTCAAAGCAAGGATTGGAAATTCAGCAGACAGCAGGACAGTGATGGCTGCTCCCAGATTTGGTTAGAGTGCAGCAGTGCCAGACAGTAGAACTTGTATGAAAACCCTCTTGGAGGGCACCCAGCAACACCGGTCACTGCACCTCTGCTCCCCCAGAATCAGGCTGGAGCAGCTGCATAACTCTATATGCAGCATCCATCTCCTCCACACTCCTGTCTCATTAATTCTTACATTCTCTGTAATATCTGCTCTTCTTCTTAAAAAGACCCAACACAATCTCTGGTGTAAGAATTCAGGATTTTTTTAGGAGGTATGTAAGGGAAAGCCACTCCTTGACTTACACAGCAACTTGGGACTCGGGTGTGTGAGTTAAAATCATGGATGGTATTTCTTACATACGGAACCACCTAGTCACCTTGAGAAATGCTGAATCTGAGTAAAAGAAGCATTTAGAATTTGTTGCAAGGAAAGTTTTTGTTTTTCTGTTCTGTTAGCTAGTCTTTAATGCTTTAATTATGGCAACATTGTGTTCACTGCAAAGTTCTTTTGAGCCTTTGGGATGAGCAGGGGGCTGTACTAGGGAGTTGAGTGAGCAATCTGGCATACATTGCAAAAGTAAAACAAGCAGTAGTTCTGTTTCCATTGCAGCCTCTGGCTGACTGATATTTTTGAGGAAGCTATATTTCAGGGGGGTGGTATTTTTGTTTTGCCACATATATTCAAAATAATATATGAAAATCGAAAATAGGTCTGTACTTTAGACAGGGGAAACACTGTGTAATGCTAAAAGCCCAGCAAGACTCAAAGTATCAATCTGTCTAGGCAATTATAGGGCAAATTTCTAAGCCTTCCCCTCACTGATGCTAATGGGTTTTCAGTGTGTGGGGAGGGCTTTTGTCTGAGATTTTGTTGGTCCATGCTGCATTATAGCAACCCAAACTGTCCTTGGTTTAGTCAATTTTGTTGAATTGAAGGATTATTTTAAGATTCTTGGTTTGTACAGAGAATTATATAACATGTTTCTATGAAGAGCTTTATCTTCTACCTGTTTGTTTGAAAGTTGATGTGTAGCTATTGCTTTTTTGTTTAGAGTTTACCCTGGGGCAAACATTAAATTGAATCTAAAGTGAACTGTGTATGTAGGTGTCATAAGCCCAAAGTCTTTCTGTATTGGACTGCTAATTGAACATGGTGTTTGCAGTACCAGCTTAGAACAGCACCAAGGAAGTGAGCTCTGGTTGTAATTGTGGTAACAACACAGGAGTGTTACACTGGAGAGTATATTATTCACATGGTCTAGTTGGATGTTACTAATTTTTTAAAAATTTTATTTCAGATACTGAACCTAAAATTTTATCATTTACAATGCAATCAGAAGTTTTACTTCTTGTTTGTTTCTTGGATATGGAAAAACATAGTGAATTAGAATTCTATTTTTCATATAAAATTTATGTTTTGACATGTATCCAGCTCACTTTCCTTTTCTTGTTCCGTGTTAGAAATAGGGTTTAAATAGTAAAATTTTGAAGCAGCATAAAAATTAAGTGCACATAAAATGCCTATAGATCATTATTTTCATTCTTGGTATAACTCTTCTGAGGATGAGCATTCAGCTACTTGGGAATATGTTGTACTGTGATGAGAACCACTTGCACAAGTATCACTCAATATAGAAAAAATGTAATAAACTGTTTTCCTTGAGCTTTTAATACTATGTCAACAGACTGTGATTATTTAGAAGAAAGTTAATGTCAAAATATGCTTATTTAGCATAAAACCCCTGAACACTTAATTTTCTACCTGACACCTGCCACCTTGTCAATATTGCACAATCTGGGAAAAATAAGAAACATTTTTGGCCTTCAGAGCAGTATTTCTCCAAGAAAACTAATTTGAGTTGCATACCTTTTGGGTAGGTTTAATAATATCTAGGAACATAGTTACTCAGATGTTGTTTATAAAGATTTTGTTTTGCTTTTTTAATTTGTTGATATACAGTTTAATCAATTCTGTGTCTAAAAGCTTCTGCTTTCCTTTAATGTCCTCCCCAGGGTCAGCGTCTTTTTGAAAAACTGCTTGAACTGGCATCCCGAAATATTGAGATAAAGCTAGTGAGCGATAAACTGCCCGTGGAATCAAAGGTATTAAACGACTTGAAAGCAAAGGGTAAGACCAAGGTCTTTAAGTCATTCTGCCATTGGCTACTGTGTGATGCTCCTATTATTTAAAATGCAGGCTTGGATGGTGCATAAAATGCACACTGCTGCTGTTGCACTATTACCCTATAATCTGTCAGCTTTCTCTGGTTCGCAGGTGTCAGAAATCTGAAACCGTTACTGTAGCTAATGTTTGCAGTTCACAAGTGAATAAAAATTGCATTAGAGAGGTGTTTAAATTGCCTGTAGCCATTTAATAGTAGGCAATATAACCTGAGAGTCTGGGCTAATACCTTGTGGGACAAGATACTTTTCCTTTTTTGAGCAACAGCAAAGTAAATTAATAAAACAACATGTGTATGGTACTGATGATCCTGAAGCACAGGAAAATAGACCATTGGTCAGATTTAACCAGCTGACAAGGTTCTTTGTGATATGTGTATTTCTTTGGTCTCCGCTTTCCTAATTGCTATTCTGAGGCTCAAAAGTCCCTATCCAAAGAGGGATTGCACATTGGCACTACATGAATGGACTTGTTTTATGTAAAACTGTGTGGAAAAATAGTAAAGAGAATGTAAGAATTGCTGGAAGAAATTAATCTCTCTTAGGATTTCCAGCAATCTCATACACATTTCTCCTCTTAGTTATCTATATCTGATAAAAGCATGATTTTAAGGGTAAGGTACGCTTTTCAAAGATCAAAAAGACCTTACATGTTTTGATGGTGATCATTTTTGACAAAGATACCTTTATGGATCACAAAGGAAACTCTAAAAAATTTAATTAGGCAAAGGAGTTGTTATGTATTGAAGCACCCTAAAAACAGCATGACTGTTCATGGTGAAGAATATAAACACCATGGTGAAGAATAAGCACCCTCTTCCCAGAAACATCAATCTATATTTGTTTCAATTCCTTCTAATCTCCTCACTGCACAAGTAAAAGAATGTTACTAATGGAAGTCCTTATCCCTGAGGGAGATTGGCTTTTAATCAAGTTTGACATGTTATTTAAATTTAATAAACTTAAATTTAATGAAAAAAATAATAACTATAGATTCTCATAATTTCATGACACTACCTATTCCAGGGATTTGATGATTTCTGCTACATAACCAAAAGACATATTGATCCTTTTATATCTAGTAAGAATATGTAAAATACTTTGTAGATATATGTGGAGTGTCTTTTTCTGATGTGCTCAAAAATAATAGGTATTTCAACATCAATGTCAGTGAAATTAACTTTTGAAAAGTTGTTTCTTTTCCCTGTGATTCTAATATCCCAAATTCCTATGAGTCAGAGAATAGGAAAGGTAGGCCTGTACATTCATATCAATGTACTGGCAACTGATATTTTAAGTATCTTTTGTTAAAAATACCCAATACCAAAAATTATCCTCTTTCAAGAAAAGATGAGGGGAAATTTTTAGCTAGAAAAGGAGGAGAAATGTTTAACACTTCCTTTTATTTACGTGGGAATTAATCTAACCTGTGAGCTTAAAAAAAAAAAAAACAGAACACAGGCTTTTACATTTTACTATCTTCCGTTTCCCTTATGCCTTTTCTAGATTTCTGAGACAGGAAATCTTACAGTATTTAAATGAAATGATCAATATATTTGTGCTCTAAGCTACAAAAAAAAAATTGGAGAAAGTTGTTAGTAGTTCTTGAGTTTTGTTGTCATCATCGTTGACATCAGGTGCCCTGAAATTGTATATATCATTGTGTACTATCAGCCTTTCTCAAACATCAATATTACAACAATTTTCTCACTATGGTTTTTTTTTCTCACTCCATGTTTTGGTCTGCTAATTTCTGCACTGATATTTTTATTAGAATGTCTTGATTATGGCAAGATGATTGCCAGGTCTGTTGCAATTCTTTCACTCATTTAGGTTTGTTGTTTGGTTTTTATCTCCATGGAAGTTAGATAAATCTTTCTTTGGTTTTGCATTCCTGAAAAGAAATAAATTAGTTTTAAATTCAGTCAGATTCAGTTGTCTTAATTTTATGTTGAAATGAGTAGACCTTGTATGAGCAGTTTATGGTATGTCCTGTTTGTGTCAACTAGAAGCCAAGCATGAGGCTAGTTTAAAAGAACCCAGATACCATTAATCTTTCTTATGCTATCCTGGAAAACCTATCTACTAAAATTATTAATCTTTTTGCTTGTGAGGGGCTGGCCATCTACATCCTCTGAAATCTGTCATAACTGATCATTGAAAGGGAACTGTGCATTATCACTTGGACTTATATCCATGAAGACAACTAATTATTTTTTTCCTGCAACTGGTCAGATTTGTCTTTAAAATATGCCATGCACCCTTTTTAACAGATGCATTCCTCTCTTGGTGAAGAAAGCATTAAACAAATCAGTAGTTCAGCCAAGTTATGAAGCTTCTCAGTATGGAGAACCAGAATATATTTGTCTGAGCAGACCAAAATCCCCACTTGTGGTGTCAGTCTGAATTAGGCAGCAGAGAGACCAAGCACTACTCTGAGGTTCGTCACCTGATAAACGACTCTGAGACTCTGATTCATCCTAAGCAGCAAACCCGCTTGGCACCCAAGCAATAGTAGTATGGACCGAAAGCACATACACAGCCAGTGGGACTCTGGGAATTTCATGGCTTTCTGAGTCTGCCTTCACCTTGCTAGGTGAGCATAGGTTTGGCTCTTCTTTCCAAGGCAGATTGTATGCACGAGTCAGACTGTCTCCAAGCTGTGCTGCTGAATATGAGAGAGAATTGCTATTGTATGAAGAGAGAGGAAGAGTCTTGCCTTTCTTTTCAGCAGACCAAGTTATCAGAACCCCTGGGCTGTGCCCTCATGTGGTGCAGACTGATTTCTAAGTTCAGGACAAGGGATAATTTGCCTGTTGGCCATGAGTGTACCTGTTAATGTATTGCCCAGAAACCATAAGGGAATCTTCAGGCAGTATGCCCTGTCTGCTTTAAGTAGCCTCAAAAAAATAGAATCAATTTAAACACATGGGATTCCTTGAAGATCAGTACTTGGTTATCCATGTTTTCATGCAGTTTTGGCTTTTTTGTACAAGGAACCATGGTAGGCTCCTATACTGCTGCATCTTAACACAGATATTGAGACTATTTCTGCCAGACAGATTATTGCAGCACATCTTTCCTTTTTCTAAACAGGCATGCATTGAGTCCCCTTGCCTCTTCTCCCCATTTCTGAAGAACTGTAGAAAGCTGTTTTTATAGATCTTTTCCATCACAACAATGCATCCTACCTAGAGTCCTCTCCACACATCCTTCCTCTGCTGCAGTTGTCCTTATTGATTAATAGAGGAGAAGGTTGAAATCTGACTTCAAATGTGAGCTGATGGGGTAAGATAAAACATATCTTACGTAGACTGGGGAGCAGAACTGAACTGATGTGGAATAAAATAAAGTTAGTAATTCACAGTTGCAATGCCAGTGCAGACATCTGAGCTAGCTGTGAACCTGCAGGTTTATCATCACTCCAGTAACCTGTTTTTAGCCTTTCTATGCTATCCTTACTTACTTGAGGTAGCTGTAAAGAAGGGGAGCTTGATTACAGGAGTCCAGAGGCTGAAGTGTGGAACATGGATTGATTTATTGTGCTAACACATACCACACTCTGTCAGCTGTGGTGACAGGATTCTCTGGCTGCTGAGATAATGTACATTTACCAATAGTTGCTGGACGGTGGGAGTGTTATTTAGTTGCAAAACTAAGCATGCAAAAATGAGGAAATACTAATCCCACAGTAAACTTTAATTATACTATCTGTATTTTGCACAGAATACCTGGCTGGTAGTTGTTGTAATATTACCGTATTAATCAGAGGGTTTCCCCTTATATTGAATGAGGATACATCAAACATTTCATGCCTAAGGCAGTTGATATTCATTCAGGGGATATTATTTCTGCTGGTAATGGCTAGAATCTTTTCTTATCTTCATATTTAATGTATGTCTCTAGGCTTTCTTCATTGCACATCTGCCAGATCCTGTACTGAATGCAGAATGATTAATTTCCTCATAGGCCTTTCTGTGCTGTTTCTCACTGTGGTATCTGAGTGCTCTGCAAATACAGTATTAATGAATTTCTTTTTACAACATCCCTGTTACATGAGGTTTCTTGCTGTTTCTATCTCTTGGGGACAACCAGTGATTATTAATGGCTACACAGGTACCAGTCACAATTAAAATTTTAAAAAGCATACTAGTAATTAAAAAAATAATCACATGTAACTTTTCCCAGCTCACATTGTCAAAATTATTACTAAACAGACTAAACAGACTAAACAGACTAAAAATATTATATTTTTATAGGACATATGTATATCCATACTGTGCATATCTGTATATGACTGTCTTGTGAAAGATAAGTCTGTCTTTAGACAAAATTTGGCTCATTGTGTAAACAAACATGTTCTTTATCCTCTTTGTACTGTGACAGTAGCTTATTAATGCTTGTTTTCATGGTTATTGTTTTAGCTTTCCTCAGCTGTGGCTCAGTCTACTAGACTGAAATGTTTCTTGTAACCCCCCCGCTTCCTTTCACATAATTATGTACCAGTTTTTGTTCATCAGTAACATTTGAATAGCACTGTCTCCAATTAGCAGGTGGTTGTATTATTTCTCACGAGTTACAGAATCTAAATCCCGTACTAATTACTATCTTATTTTAGTTGACAGTGTTCATGCTTTTCAAGACATACCAATGGATTTTCCTTCTTCAGTTTCCATTGCTTCCTTTCTTTTCTATTTATTTTTTTTCTCCAGTACTCCTTTTCATGAAGCATTTTTCATATATTTGCAAGGATTATTTTTTCTTTTGTCAGTGGTGGCTGAGGCAAATAAGAGGAGTCTGTTCATGTCACAGTGATCTTAGGAAAAAATATCATCTAAGTCAACTAACCACTTTTGTGTATTAGCAAGAAAAACAGTGAATAATAGAAAGTCATTGCCATAGGGCAGGATCCAATCACTAGATCACATGTGCAGCTGTTATTCACTG